AAAGGGACCTCAGTTGAGAAAAAAGGATAAATGAGTAATTTATTACACGTGAGTTTACAGAGGAAGAGGTTCTATTTCAACTGTCAAAAGTAAAGACAAATAAGTCAATGGGACCTGATGGAATACACCCAAAAGCTATTAAAAGAGCTTAGTGGTGTACTAGCAAAACCATTAACAGATTTATTTAACCAATCATTGTTAACAGGAGTAGTCCCAGAAGATTGGAAGTTAGCGAATGTTGTGCCCATTCACAAGAAAGGTAATAGGGAGGAGTCGGCAACTATAGGCCAGTAAGCCTTACTTCAGTAGTGGGGAAAGTGATGGAAACCATGTTAAAGGATAGGATTGTTGAACATCTAAAAACACATGGATTTCAAGATCAGAGACAACATGGGTTTACTTCAGGGAGATCATGCCAAACTAATCTTATTGATTTTTTTGATTGGGTAACTAAAATTATAGATCAGGGTGGTGCAGTAGACATTGCTTACCTAGATTTCAGTAAGGCTTTTGACACTGTTGCACATAGAAGGCTTATCAATAAACTGCAATCTTTAAGTTTGGATTCAAATATTGTTGAATGGGTAAGGCAGTGGCTGAGTGACAGGCAACAGAGGGTTGTAGTTAATGGAATATATTCGAAGCTTGGACTTGTCACCAGTGGGGTATCTCAGGGATCTGTACTTGGACCCATTCTCTTTAATATTTTTATTAGTGATATTGCAGAAGGTCTTGATGGTAAGGTATGTGTTTTTGCTGATGATACTAAGATATGTAACAGGGTTGATGTTCCAGGAGGGATAAGCCAAATGACAAATGATTTAGGTAAACTAGAAAAATGGTCAGAATTGTGGCAACTGACATTTAATGTGGATAAGTGCAAGATAATGCATCTTGGACGTAAAAACCCAAGGGCAAAGTACAGAATATTTGATAGAGTCCTAACCTCAACATATGAGGAAAGGGATTTAGGGGTGATTATTTCTGATGACTTAAAGGTAGGCAGACAATGTAATAGAGCAGCAGGAAATGCTAGCAGAATGCTTGGTTGTATAGGGAGAGGTATTAGCAGTAGAAAGAGGGAAGTGCTCATGCCATTGTACAGAACACTGGTGAGACCTCACTTGGAGTATTGTACACAGTACTGGAGACCGTATCTTCAGAAGGATATTGATACCTTAGAGAGGGTTCAGAGAAGGGCTACTAAACTGGTTCATGGATTGCGGGATAAAACTTACCAGGAAAGGTTAAAGGATCTTAACATGTATAGCTTGGAGGAAAGACGAGACAGGGGGGATATGATAGAAACATTTAAATATATAAAGGGAATCAACACAGTAAAGGAGGAGACTATATTTAAAAGAAGAAAAACTACCACAACAAGAGGACATAGTCTTAAATTAGAGGGACAAAGGTTTAAAAATAATATCAGGAAGTATTACTTTACTGAGAGGGTAGTGGATGCATGGAATAGCCTTCCAGCTGAAGTGGTAGAGGTTAACACAGTAAAGGAGTTTAAGCATGCGTGGGATAGGCATAAGGCTATCCTAACTATAAGATAAGGCTAGGGACTAATGAAAGTATTTAGAAAATTGGGCAGACTAGATGGGCCGAATGGTTCTTATCTGCCGTCACATTCTATGTTTCTATGACCGCTCGACTCACTTAACTGACGGCGTCTTCGTTCAGTTTATTAAATTACTCCTCTCCCGCTGCTTGTCTTCGCCCTCAACAGGAGACCTGCCTCACGCAGCGTGCATCACATTGCCCCCCTCCACCTTTTTTTTTTTAAACAGGGGCACGGGTTTAATAAAGGTAGGGCTGGGGTGTTGTAGAGGGGGTGCAAGGAATTTTGTAGAGGGGGCTGGGATTTAGTAGAGTGAGGGGCTGGGGTTTAATAGATAGAGGGCTGGGGTGTTGTAGAGGGGGCTGTGGTGTTGTAGAGGGGGTGCAAGGAATTTTGTAGAGGGAGGAGCTGGGGTTTAGTAGAGGGGATGCAGGGATTTTGTAGAGGGTGGTGCTGGGGTTTAGTAGGGCTTATTTGGCCCAAGTTAGCATTTGAGTTTGACATGCTTGCTTTAATAGAACACCATGCTCACCATAACAACTTCATCTAATTGGCGAAAAGGTAAGAAAACATTTTTTTATTGTATTACACACAAATGGAGCGTGAGGTGGGCATCCGATAGTGTTAGAAATTCAGTTATGTATTCCTAATGCTATATTATCCATTTAATTTTGACTCTTCATCAATTTGCTCATTTCAGCATTAGCCAATCTTACTGCAGTCTAGCATTAAGAAAAGAAAGTTAAAATAATTTTATGCATTATGTATTACTATTGATTAGCTTGAAGATGCACAGATACAAATTCATTAGCCAATTCATGTATTTTAAAAGCATCAAAAATAGCCTTGCACACATCTATCAGGAAACACATTATATCCAGTGCAGTAAAGTGGCTTTCTGACTTGTATTCCCATTTGTTAAAAACGCTAAACAATACGCTGGAAAATATGCAGAATTCAAGACATAAATCTTGTACATCTCACATTTTTCCATCTTTTAAGAACTGGGGGAAACTCAGCCGTGTCTACTGCAGCTTTGAGATAGTGTTTTGCGAATAGAATTTGGTCAATAAAACAAATTTATTGCTTCTCGAATCAGCTATTTCCCTGCTATAGATAGGAGCCTTTGGAACCAGTTTCCTATCCTTATAAAAACATTCCAGTCATGTAATTATTCCAGAAAGGCTATTGTAAACTCTCGGTGCTGAAACAGCCAGGTTATAATATTTGTCATTTTTATGTGGTTTTCCATTCATCCATTTTTGGGAGGGTTGCTATTCATTTAAAAGAAAATATACTGCAGAATTGCAAAAACATAACAGGCATAAAAAATGTGTTAAATTTAAAACATAGCAGAGGCAGAAAAGCTTTCCATCTCTAAGCTAAAGGTAGAAAAATAAAAATAATTCTCTATTCCCATTACATTTTTGCAATATTGTTTTAACTAGATATTTTCTTCCTCCTTTTGCACTTCTTTTCTCTGTTATTCTCATTTCTTTTAATCCATCTCCACATAATTTTAGAATCGCTTACCCTCTCCTTGCTTTTCCTAGCTACCAGTGAACCATACAAAGATGTCCCCTAAAATATGACACACGCAACAGAACAGGAGTGTGGAGCAGAGGCTCTATATATTCAAATCAAATTACAGACCCTGTTCTACCAGGCTTGCTTTTTGTTTCTAAGAGTGTTAACCCCTTAGTGACCAGACCGCTTTTCAATTTTCTTACTGTTTGGGACAAGGGCCGTTTTTACATTTCTGCGGTGTTTTGTGTTTAGCTGTAATTTTCCTCTTACTCATTTACTGTACCCACACACATTATATACCACTGTTCTCGCCATGAAATGGTCTTTCTAAAGATACCATTATTTTAATCATATCATATACAATTTACTATAAACAAAAATGATAAATTATGATGAAAAATATACACCTTGTCTAACTTTGACTCCTAAAATCTGTTATTCATCTACAACCGTCAAAAAACACCCATGCTAAATAGTTTCTACATTTTGTCCTGAGTTTAGAAAGTTATAGGGCAATAAGTACAAGCTATTTCCAAGCCATTTTTTTTTTCAAAATTAAGTTACATTGTAACAATGATATCTGTCAGGAATTCCTGAATAATGCTTCACATGTATATATTTTTTTTAAAAGGAGACAGCCTAAGGTATTAAACTTGGGGTATTTTGACTCTTTTCATGCAACCATATTACCACCAATCTATGCCAAATAAAATAAATATTTTTTGTAAATGGTGATTTTTTTGACACATAGCAATATAAGAATACAGGTACTGAGAACTTTAAGGGTTACTTAAATAACACCCCAACATCTCCTGTGTACAGTGATACCACCCATGTATAGGTGTGTCAGGTTCTCTGGTGGCTAAAAGACCTTATTTGGAGGGTTTTCCAACTTGGAATTTCCACAGCTGGTCATCATGCACCCATGTCCTATTTGGGACAATTTTTGAAGCTGGCAAATGTAATTTACCCCCATCAAACCATATATTTTTGAAAAGTAGACACCCTGGGGTATTTCAAATGGTGGTATTTTAACACTTTCCATGCACTAATTCTACCAGTCTTTGCAAACTTTTTGGGTAGTCATTTTTTTGTGTTATTTTTCTCTCACATTGTACTTTAGGCATGGATTCTCAGTTCCTGTTATGTGTGGCTGACAAATAACACCCAATATGTGTTCAGCAACATCTCCCAAGTACAACAGTGCCCCCAATGTATAGGTTTTATGGTTTTTTGCAAACTTACAGGGGTCAAAAGTAGGGCTTTCCCCTTTACCATGTTTGCACATTGAAATTTGCCAGATTGGTTTGCTGGGCCTATGTTGCCTTTGAGACCGTATTGCAGCCCAGGAATGAAAATAAACCCCATCATGGTATACCATTTGTAAAAAGAGATGTCCAGTCTTTTTTAGTAGTCACAAATCCTGCCCAAAATTTTGCATTTATATTTGTTTTGTTTTACACAAAAACTGCACATCGTGATACATTTTACCGCTGTAAACACTCATTTGTGTTTAGCGAAGCCTCCAGAGTATAACAATACCCCCCCATGTACAGGTTTTATGGTGTTTTGGAAAGTTACGGGGTCAATATAGGGCTTGCCCAATTCATTTTTCCAGATTGGTTTGCTGGGTTGATGTTGCCTTTTGAGACCATATGGTAGCCCAGGAATGTGAACTAACCTCATCATGGCATACCATTTTCAAATGTAGACAACCCAGGGTATTCAAAATGGGGTATTTCCAGTCTTTTGTAGTAGCCACTTAGTCACAAACGCTGGCCAAAGTTAGCAAATTTGTTTTTTGCATTTGCTTTTTTAAAACAAAAACTGCACTTTTACTGGTTTTATTGTCGTGATGAGTTTTACTCTTTAAAACGCTCATATTTGTGTTCAACAAAGTCTCCAGAGTATAACAATCCCTACCATGTAAAGGTTTTATAGTGTTTTGGAAAGTTAAGGGGTTAAATATAGGGCTTGCCAATTAAATTCTCTGGACTGTGTGTCTGGGTTGTCAGATAGGTCCCTCAAATTATAATAAAATTAAATAATTATGTAGTTAATAGTTAAATATATATGTAGAATGTGTGTGTATATACACACACTTAAAAATTATATTATATATATATATATATATATATATATATATACACACACCACTAATGGACAGCGGTTTCGTTGTTAATGCAACTCATCAGCATGAGGTTGGTTCCCGGCTTGCTATGAAGCCTTGGCGTTATTTGCCTCCATAGCAAAGTACTGATATATATACCAGCATGAGGTTGGTTCCTGGCTTGCCATTACTTGTAAAGTACTTGACAAGTAACACCAAGCCTCCATAGCGAGCCAGGCTTCTCTTCCTGAATTGTGTTTCAAAGCTGTTGTATACAGCAGACACATACTCCAAGGAATCCATGTGTAAAGTAGAATTGAGGCAAAAATGTGGTTCTTTGTTGAGCTCATTTGCATACACCTAGAATCCCTTGCAGTAGTGAGAGCACTGTTAAAAGATTTCTGTGGGAAATGACTGGTGTATTTGTGTTTACACACACACATCCTTTTATTTCCTATATAAGTATAATATATTATAAAATTAAAGCATTTTATATTATACATATAATGCATATATATGATTGCATTATAAGTATTTTGAGAAATATATCTCTAAGTACACTTATAATGCAATCATATAAATATATATGCATTATATATGTAGAATATATTTATTTTATTTTACACTTTTAGCTGGCTGGGGGACTGCCTGACTGCTCAGGCAGTCCACCTGCTGGCAGCTCCATAGACACCATTTGCGGCCATGTGATCATGGTGATCACATGGTCCTGGAGGGCTGGATTTGCCTGGCACTAGGGCAGTCCCCCCCCAGACAGGGATCGCTGCGGATTCTCCTGTCCAGGTAAGTAAACGGGTCCTATTTACCTCGGGCGTACCAGGTAGGTACATCCGTGGTCAGAAAGGGGTTAAACGGTTATATTTGCATTGAGAGATACTGAGGTACTGCGGTATTAGGGTAAAAAAAAAATATGATCAATTAGAGACTTCAATATTTTTGTCGTAGTGGAGTCCAAGACCTTAGTATTTCTTAATGCAAAAAATAAAAAGGGGAAACAAAGCAAATATAGACCCTGTAGAAAAGGGTCTATAATTTGACTAATTTGACCAAATTATCTTCTTTTAATTCTTGTTGTGTAGCCTCCTCTTACATTATAAGGGACATCTTGGTATGGTTCACCAGAAACCAGATGGTGCATTTCACCTTTATTCCCAAATGCCCATCATACGACTGGCTACATCAACAATTCAAAGACTAAAAGCGTATGACATGGTCGGAGGCAGACCTGGGTAGATTATGTTATAGCCCTGAGGGTTTATCTTATACTTCTTAGGAGGAAGTGGAAGCTGTTTCTAGTGCTCATGAAAACGTTAAATTGCCAAACATTTCTGCTGATTTTCATTAACTGCAGTTGCCGCCTTCTAGTGCCTAGAAACACTTCATTTATTGGACATCTATGTCTTAAAGTGAATGAAACACAAGTGCAATGATCATCTTTTATTAAAAATTGAATTACCAATTAAAAAGATTATTATATATGCCCAGGTTTGGTTTGTCCAAAGTTTTTTCCCTTCTTCGCTTTCACCTTTTCCCAGCATGAAAAGGTGAGAACTCCTTTAGAGCATGTTGCAAACCGTTGCAGTGACTTATGGTTGCCAACACAAGATAAATGCTTCAAAGTCAGCAATGTGAATTAGGGTCAACAGGGTTTCAAGATGCCTGTTCGTTTTTGTCTAACTTGTCAGAGAGGAAGAACTTGGTCAACAGAAATTGAAATAAATAAAAACAGAAGAAATATTAGAAAAAAGGGGAGGAGGAAAAAAAATATATATATTAAAAAGCCTTAAAACTTGTGATGCCTAATATTCTCTGTAACAGCTCTAATTAACCTTGTCCTGAAATATATACAGGTTATTCGTGGCTGCCACTGCTATGATGTTTTCTGAAGGGTGCCAGGCCGTGTGGAGAATTTTTTTGCTAAAGTCTAGACTGTCCACACTAATTTCGTCTTTTCTCCGTTTCCCTCCTACGCAGACTTTGCGAGGTTTGAGGATAGCCCGGGGCTTGCTGTTTTCTCTGGAAGCCTCCAATGTAACATCACGTTTGGTGTTTCGGTCAAACATTCTGAAGAAGTTGTTGTAGGAGCCGGTCATTATGACACTGAAAGACAGAAAGCGTTGAGCTTTTAAAAGACTACATTGCGTGAATAACCATTTTTAATGTTACAAAACATTAGAAAATAGCAATTTGTAGAAGTTACTTGAATTTTAAATTGAGCTAAACTACAATGCTATCCATTTCTGCCTGGCACATATCCTACATAGAATATGAAAACAAGGGATTGCTGCCAAATGGTTTTGCTCTGAATGGAATACAATAGCTTTCAAAGGGAAAGTGGCATATAAAATGAGAGAGATGGCGAGCGGATATGAAAAAAGATGAAGAGGGAAGGGAAACAAAATAGAGGAGAGGGTTGATGAAAAAATAAATGAGAAGAAGAGAGAAAAGACAATAAAGGAAGACCGGTAACAGAAAAGAGAGGAGACAGGAAGTAAAAAGCTCTGAAAGGGAAAAATAAAAGAGGTAGTTTAAGGAGTTTTACTCCACCTTTCTATGGGTGCCTGTAACTGAAGCTTACATAGAGGCTTGCTGACTAGCTCCCTGTGAAGGAAACATCTCTTCTAGTTCTAAAGTGGTTAACAAGACTGAGACTGGTTAGTGAACATAGCATTAGCAAGAGTGTTTGTGTGCACACAGACACTGTGAAATAGACACAGATTGGGATTCAGATTTAATCCATATTGGCAAATGATGGGTTAGCAGAACACAGAGACAAAAATATATTTTACAAAAGGGTATTGTAATTGAAGTGAGATGAAGTGACACTGGTGATATGGTCACACAATGAGCCTATTCTACAACATGTTATCAGACCTGCCAAGTTT